CCTGTTACGTGCTTATTATTTAATCTTTTAAAAAAATCAATAGACACAAACATATTTCAGAGTATCCGAAGAAGTGTACCAGCTTTTGTTTCTTAACCATGATTCATATTGTGACTTGGTGTCAGGCACAAACCTGTATCCTTTGATTTTAAAAGTTTATATCAGTAACGGGTATGGCTGCCCCTTGCAGTGTTGCTGGCTTGGCATCTTTTGCGCACTGATCAAATAAGTGTGTGTATTGACCGTTGTGATATAGTCAGTTCCTCTCTTGAACCAATGCTTTTAACATTCCATGTGTCTGTTTTAAATGTCGTAAGTCCCAAGTTTTGTTTTGAAGCCAGTATCTGAATGAAGATCAGGCGCCACCTGCTGCCTGTGGTGGTCCTTACCAAAAAAGAGCTTAAGTTTGATCATGAAATACCCTGCGGCTGTTCATGAATTTTAAAAATAAAAAATTACAGCAATGCTTTCTTATTGCCTGCTGACAGTTTGTGCATGGTTTTTTTCCTGCTACCCTTTGTCACCCACTGATTAACCCAAATATGGTGTGTGTTGTGTGTATGTGTGTGTGTGTGTGTGTGTGGTTGGGGGGGGGGGGGGTGGGCGCCTTCCGTCGCCAGGATCGTTCATTTTATGAGCAATTAACGTATTCCATGAAAATCCAGTGCCACCAGTGCTCTCATATACCCTCTGCAACCACTTTTCCTTTAATTCGCAACTGTTTAGAGGCTAGACTCCATATATGGGAGCCATTTCCTATCCATCACAATGGACGTGTATGGTTGGGAATTTCGACCCATACTGAATTCTTTGTATCTCATGATGACACAATTAAAATTGCAGATTTATAATAAGACCGTTATTTGTTACTGGATATTGTGTTGACGAAAATTGAACTTTAGGTGTCATTTGCAAAAGTAAAGAAAATGTAAGATCTTACAAAACCCCCTGTAAATCCTATTTGTAATCTATTATGCAAAGATGCAAAAATGAAAAGATCAAACACGTTCCACAATTCAAACATCTAGGCTCAACCATTACTTTGGATGCGAAATGTTCCACTGAAATACAAAGAAGAATTTCAATACTTCAAGTCAAATTCGACGAAAAGCGACCAATTTTTAAAAAGAAAAACAACAACAAAACTCGGAAAAATCACGATGCCAGCTATTGTTCATGTTAAAGGATGCGCGTAGTAAATCCTTGTATACGGCTTAAAAAACAAAACAAGATGAAGTAGAGCTAAAAGAAGCCTGAGTGGGAAGGCCTCTCACTAATGAAAGCAATTATGGAATACATTAATCATGGAAACGTGAAAAATTATAAAAGCCGTGACCATTTTTCTCTCACTGGAAAAATAGAAGGCAAAAATTAAGAACATCTACTCTATAAAAAACCCATTTGTCCTTTGCGAACAAGAAATACGTTTAAAATACAGAAATACAAAGTTTTTTTTTTTTTACAAGCCAAGTTAAATCCCATGTTTTGTGGAAAGATAGGGGTAGAGAAGTATGTGTGTGTGTGTGTGTGTGTGTGTGTGTGTGTGTGTGTGTGTGTGTGTGTGTGTGTGTGTGTGTGCGTGTGTGTGTGTGTTTGGGGGGGGGGGCTGGGTGTTATCTCCCTTACAGACAAAATCCATCATGGAGGCAGACATCAGTTCTTCGCTCGTCGTGTTTCGAGTTTTACATGACAGAAATCCTGAACATGATTAGTTTCCAGTTGCTTATCCCCACCCACCGCCACATTTACGTAGAGATGGGTGTAAGCATCTCTTGAAGTATCGTGGTTACTTTTTATAGGAATTTTCTGTGTTGTACATAAATGTGAAATCCTTTTCAATAGACACTGAATTCCCCAAGAGCACAGCAGCAATTAATATAGAAATAGCACAGTTCCGCATTGGCATTATAATTCAAATGAGCAAGGCATAAGTTAACGGCAACATTTGACAAACTTAACCTTTAATGGTTTTCGGGTAACTCTTTTCGGGTAATTTTTCATCTCACTTTTGGGGCTGGTTCGCACGTGATGGAAATCGAAAGGCGCAACCAACTTAAATTAAATTTACTTTGGCCACAGTTTAAATTCCCCCCGTCCCAAACCAAATTGATACAATTTATATGCGCGACAAGTGCCAGGTCTCTTAGTGTAAGTTGAGAAATAGCTACTTGTAGCAGTACGTCAATATCCAATGACTACGGGGATATTGAGCGCCCTTGAAATAGGGGTCTTGAAAGCAGTATGGTAGAATGATACTTGAAAACTATAAATGCTAAGCAAAAATTAAGCACTTTCAGAAGAACAAAACTTCCATGAATTAAAAACTTGTATATGCAGTGGGAGGGGTTCTCCTGTCTTTTTATGCTCGCATTTATGTTTTCAAAATGGGGAAGGGGACTTTGCTTTTCTTTCCTAAATTCGTAACAATATTCGGAAAAAAAGATCACTTAAAGAATGACTTTATATATATATATATATATATATATATATATATATATATATATATATATATATATATATATATATATATATATGTGTGTGTGTGTGTACATACATACTAAGACATTTTATGTAACTCTGTACTTTCTTTGATTATTGAAGCACAGCTATATACAATATTGTAGATGCCACACAAGCTTAAGAAATTCGATAGCTGGACAGTATAACTGTTTAAAAACCCAACCCTTTGAGGGTAAGGGGGGGTGGGTTCCTTTTTGGGTTATGAATAGTGATTTTTTCTGTTTTAATAATCATAGTGGTACTGAATCGGCTCTTGTGGCGAACAAAAAAAAAAGTAAGTATAATATGTTGATAACACGTTGAATAAAATAGTAATCAAGGTGAAATAAGTGATTCTTTTCCCTTTCAGCAAGAGAACTCAATGACGTAAACACGGCTGCCAATTAAAACACGAGCGTTGAGAGAGCAACACCTTCACCCTCCTAAAACACTCACAAACAAAAGTAACACACCAATGCACTTGAATACCAGCATCCACCTGGAATTACAAATTACTGGAATGGTATTCTATTCATCGTTTATTTGTATGAACAATACCACCACCTCGTAAAGGAACAATCGATGGAGAGATTGGAAAATTAAGACACACGTTCGTCGTATTTTAAATGATATGCTAATTTTTGAAAGACGGACGCACAACTTTGACATTGCATAGGGTACGTACTAGACAACCTTTATATACCCAGCACCAACTTTTGCCACATTTAAGAGGCTAAAATGTTCGAACCGCCGACCTTCTTAAGTTTCCCATTAAAAATTGTTTAAAAATATATATATATATATATATCACTATTATTGAGCAATTACCTGGTCCCCACCACCCACTATATTACCAAATCGCCCCCTCATGAGCGATACTGCCCAGATTGGCAAGGACAGTATTAGAAGATGATACCCCAAATTTGAAAAAAAAAATTATATGTGCCCCCGTTGACAAAATTTAGATAGAAAAGAAAATTAAAACAATGAACAAAGAGAAAACCCATAAAAAATACGCTAAGACAACAACGACGTTGAGCCAAAAGACAGTAGAAGAATGAGTTAGCTGCATTTGCACATTGACTTCAGTTGCTCAGTCAAGTTTTGGAATATGCATTAGGTGAGAAGATGTGGACTATTCTCTCACCTAAGGAGGATAAAATAATGAAGATTACCAAGCCATAGGCTAGTAAAATCATCTATATGTTTTGAGTTTAGTGTTACGGAGAGTTTTTCGACACTTGCCACACAAATGAGTCCTACAAGTAGCGGCTATAGAGATGTGACTAGAGAGTATCATACACAGGAAAGAAGGAGGAGATGGTGAGATAAGGACGGAAGATGTTCGATGGGAAACCATTAGCAAAGCAGACAAAAACGTCTGCCAATCACAAACAATTACAATTTTTATCTGTTGATAATATTCCCAAACGACCAAAGAAAGGGCAATTTAATGTAATCAAATTTAAAATGATAAATATGCTGCTGCTCACATAAACTCTATTTCTGTTTTATTCAAATAGTAAATTCAGAAATAATGAATCACATGAACGACATAATTTGATTACACCAAATTTCAGGGTTTTATTTTTTTGTCTGAAGACTTTCGTGTGAATCTGTATTAAAGTGGCAATTAATTAATAGCCCAGCATTTTTTTAATGGCTAGAAAAAGACTAAATACACAATTGAACTTGAAAACTCGTTCATGCGCATGAAATCGAGACTGGAGTCACTGGATTCAGCTCCAAAATACTTAACCAATAATAGCAATTATGTAGCGCATATCCATTCTCTGCAACATTCTCAATGGGCTTTACGACAACTTTTATCTCAGTAGACCCTAGAACACCCAACGGCATTCTTGGCTTCTTGGGAAGCCTACAAAGCAACCAGCTGATTAAGCCGTCGCTCATTCACACAAACACACACACACACACACACACACACACACACATACACACACACAAACACACACACACACACACACACACACACACACGACAACAACAAAATCTTGATAAGATCATTCTATGTTTAGCCGGGGATCCTTTCCCACCTAGGGTAAAAGGAAGATAATTAGCGTTAAGCACCCTTCCTAACGACAAGTCGGGTCATTTCCTGGCGAGATTTGAACTTACTACCTTTTGGTTGCTAGCTGGAAACCTTTACCACCAAACCATCGACACCACATGTTAGACTTAATCTTTTTATATCTTACAACTATTTCACTTCTACGCCACATATGCAATCGAATAGATCGTGTTTGATTTGGGGCTAAGATCAATTTTACCACTTGCAGTTCTTGAATTATTTCTAGAGTAACGCACACAGTGAACAACAGCACAACAATAACGCATTACAAAATCTACCTATAAAACACAGTATTATAACATTTAAAAAAAGTTTCATTCTGTTTTACTTTTTAAAAGTTTGCATTTCAACATCAAAAGTAGGGCACAGATTATTATTCCCCATGTACATGGAGCAAAATAAAACTCACCTTAGAATGCGAACTGTTGACTGAGATAATCTCATTGGATAAAACTCTAAAGACGAAAGCACTTGATGAACTTCCGAGGAAAAAAACCTACAACAATTAAATTTTGAAAACTAAAATTAACTTATACGTCTCGTCATGAGATCTGATCAACAGTAATTGTATTTCAACAATCATGGAACACAACTGAGTTTATGTCGTCACGAAATCCAAGCTTTGTCTGGATAGAAGAGACTGTTGGGGAATCCAGAAACTGCTTTGTTTCCGACAAACTAAAGGTCGTAAGTCTACTTACCTTGTTTTCGTGTGACACCAGGAGAGCTCCTTGAGCTAGCAGAGACCAGACTGTCTTTGAAAACTCAGTTAGGTCTGCGGCTCCTTAAGACCCCCTTTTAATTCGTCTCCTTTCCCCCCTCCCCTTGTGGTACTGCTGTGTAGGAACATTTTCTTCCACTATTGTTTCACAAGAAATAGTTGAGATGCAAACCTCGCTAACAAGATGAATAATTTAAGAGTACCGATCTCATCATTGACAGGGGTTACTAAGAAAACACAGAGCAAAAAGTGTTGGATTTTTTCCCCCTCACGTCTGTGACGAAAGCATGAAACGCCCCTAAACCAACCACCTCCCCCGCTTCCCGATACAGTTTAGACCAATTCGTAGTCACAATCAATAGTTAACGACCCCCCCTCCCCACCCTCAGGTCCAATATCTCCTCCACCCCCAACCCCTCACACACTCTTCCAGTTATTTAGCCGTCATCCTATCTCCCACCTAACCCCGTTTTTTTTACCAATTTGCCCCCCCCCCCCAACCCACCCCCGCTCACCGCAACAAGTGGTGTCAGCTTCAGATCCTTTTTAGCAAACACTTTTCTTTTTTCTCCTCCGTGTTGCCTATAAAGAGAGTGTCTGTAAAGAGCTTAGAGGACAGAAAAGGGTATCGTTCTTTATCTTGTTTCGGTTATCCTGCATGGCTAAGCACTGACTCCCTCTGGAACCTCCACTAATTTGAAGAGGATCCTTAACCGCGGCTGTCTGCTTTTTTTCTCAGACACGCCCACTCGTGTACGCTCACAGCAGTGAAAGTATAAAGGAAAAAAAAGGATAAAATGGCGCAACATCTTTTCAGTGTACTCGGCAGCATTTTGGCCTGTTTGTCCTGTATTCAGCATTCAATATACAAATATAAATTACGTATATAATATTTTTCTTTGTTTTTTGTTACCTCTAGCCCTGACTATTCTGACAAATATTTCCCATAATGTGCTGTTTCCTTCTATAAAAACAAAATAGAAACAAAAGCACGTGTTTTAACAAAATCCAAGGAGCATCTATGTATTATACAGTCGGGCGTAGTAAACTCAAACACGTTGGGGACTGACAAATTTTTTACGGGGTGCCCACTGCGACTCGATCGCCTCAAAAACAAACATGTTTGTTTTCAGTTTCAGGCGATCGAGTCGGGCGATCGGCCCGATCCAGCCGTCGTGGACACCCCGTATAAAACTGACCACAAACACGTTTGTGTTTGAGGCCAATCCCATCCGCAGTGGCACCTTGTATTAAATGTGTTCCATAATTTAGGTAAAAGTCGTACCCGCACCCGATCCGGACATTGGGGATTGCCTTGTTAGTGAGACGACTTTCTGGGCGTTAGGCATAATTATTGTGGTAGGGTGGCCAGTTCCTTTCCCCGCCGCCTTTACTTCCCCAACTCGAAATCAGGTACCTATTACTGTTGGGTGGGCAGGATGGGGCGAAAAAAATTCGTGTCCGAACCAAGGCTCGAAATCGGACTTTCCCCTTCGGAGACGAGCTCATTAACTGCTCCGCCACCTCACCCTCCATAACCTATGAAAAGAACACTTAGAGAAGTATTGAAGTAAAATAAAAGGAAGTAACTGTTACGTTACAAGGGACAGGAATTAAATCGCCCTTACGGAGTAACCGTACAGCAAATTTTCTGCAAACAGCTGTTTAAGTGGTGAGGTGTCTCAGCTTGAACCCGTCCAGCCATCCTGTGTTGCAAGTGAAGTCAAGGTCAAATTCCTTAGCGATTCTGGCTGCTTTTGTCATTATGTTGGGAAGAGGCATGGCGCGTGCTTGCTGGGACAATTGAAACTATGCCGGCCCTGTGCGTATCACATTTGGCAAAGCGCGTTAACGTTCTGTCGGGTTGAAATCCAATATTGGTATTTCTGATTTTATCTTTTTTTTATTTTTTTTATTTAAGGAGCGTGGTAAACATTTCTTTGGGGATACCAGATCTCTTAATATAAAATGTCCGTTTTAGCACAAGACAACTGACAACATCTGCTAAAATCTGTTGCCTGGTTTGTATTGTTAGACAATTCGTATTCTATTCTCTGCCATCTTATTAAAAGGGTACTCGGTATTAATAAAAAGATGGAAGAATAGATAGTGCTTGCTCTTGATTAAAACTATAGAGTTACATCTATGGTTAAAACAGAAAGAGAGAGAGGGAGAGAGAGAGAGAGAGAGAGAGAGAGAGAGAGAGAGAGAGAGAGAGAGAGAGAGAGAGAGAGGGGGTGGAGGGGAAGAGAAATAGAAGACACAATCAAGAGAGAAATAGATAGATAGATAGATAGATAGATAGATAGATAGATAGATAGATAGATAGATAGATAGATAGATAGATAGATAGATAGATAGGTAGGTAGGTAGGTAGGTAGATAGATAGATAGATAGATAGATAGATAGATAGATAGATAGATAGATAGATAGATAGATAGATAGATAGATAGATAGATGCAGATATACAGAAATACAGAGATACAGAGGTACAGAGATATTTATCTAGATAGTTACCGAGATAGAACCAGTTGATTAGGATGATATGGAGGTAATTCTGTTTACATATGTGGATAGGCTTGATATAACTGAACTTTGTTAATTTTATCAACACATTTAAATTGTAGTTGTCATCGTTATAAGGATGAAATGGCACAATATTAATGAGAATAATAAAAGAAATAATGATAATGCTATTAATAAAAATAATAGAACAAACAAATAATAATATTAATAATATTAAAAAGAAGAAAGATAAGAATAAAACTGAATCATTATAATGCTATCATTATTTATTATTGTCTTTAATATTTTCCTTTTTGTTGCTTCCTTCAATATCTTCATTAATATTAAACGAGGAAAACGACTGGGTGAGTCAGTACTGTAATTTTCGTCAAGCCGACCATCCAGGTACAGACCGGGACTTGAGGCTGGGCCTGAACGAGACTTGCGCAAGCCAGAGCAGTCCTCAACTTGGCCTGACACCCTGAGCCTGGCTGGAACTTGGCCTGAACTTGGCCTAAACCTGGCCTGAACCTGGTCCAAACCTGGCCTAAACCTGGCCTGAATCTCGCCTGAACCTGGCCTGCGCAGGCCTCAAACAGGCCACTTTCAGGCCAACATTAGGAGGCCTCAAGGTGGCTTCCCAAATATCTGTCGCTGACAGATATTGTTTAGCACAGGTCTGAGGCCGGAATACTTTGAGATTAAACAGAAGAGTAAAACATGATAAAAGCTTTACGGATTCTTCACCACAATCAAATTTTTACTGCGGTTCGATATCAAATACATGTTTGAGAGAGAGAGAGAGAGAGAGAGAGAGAGAGAGAGAGAGAGAGAGAGAGAGAGCGAGAGAGAGAGAGAGCGAGAGAGCGAGAGAGAGAGAACGAGAGAGCGAGAGAGAGAGAGAGCGAGAGAGCGAGAGAGAGAACGAGAGAGCGAGAGAGAGAGAGAGAGAAAGAAAGAGAGTGAGAGAGACAGAGAGAGAGAGAGAGAGAGAGCTAAGCTTGCCACAACAACATCCATATCACATGGTGGCGTCATCCTAAGTGAACACAGAAAGCCTGTGTTGTAGATGGCCACGTGAGGAGAGGCCTTAAGGCCTGGCCTGTACGCTGATGGCCGGCTTTGGAGTTACTTTACTCCCACTCCTCGTTATCCTGACTTACCTAAAAATTTGACAACGACGCTATGACAACAGCAAAAAATCTCCAAACAAAAAAAACACCGCAGCAAAACAAAAGAAAATAATTACAAACCAACAAACAAGAAGCCTTCCTGAAAAAAATCAACAACAGACAGAAAGGATCACCCTCACCCTCCCCCTCGGACACACACACAAACGCACATAAACTGAAAGAAAAATCCTCCTTGAAAAAGGAAATAACGAAAGAGGAAATGTGAACAAAACCATCTTAGTGCAAGACCCCGTTTCCCGGCATTTATTTTTCTTTCTAAGGACACAAGCTAAGACGTCATTAGGAAAGACATACAAGGAATGAGGAACTAGACTCCATAAGTATCTCTGGGAGGTGAGCAGCCCTTGGGTGACAGAGTGCAGACGCTCTTTCTAATTGCTTCGCCCACTAAGTCAAATTGAGAATGGAAATATCTTGACAAAAACTGCCTTAAGTTAAAAGTCTCTTTCGTCGCTGAAATCACCCCACAGTGCACGATGAGACAAGCATAGGCAATATGCTTTATTAATTTTTTTTTGGAGTAACTCTGTAAAGTGTATGAAGTAGCAACTGTATTGTAATACATTCTGAGAGAAATTTTAAGTCGTGGTTTACGTTCAACCAACAAAGTTACAGTCACAAATCTCAAGGGACACACCAGGACAAGCGACTCAAAGAAAAGAAGTAAAAGTAGCAGACCACATCTCAGGGAGAATCGTCATCAACAGATCTCGGGCTTTCCCTATACATAGGCTCAACACTGAAGCTGGTTTTTCGGGGGGGGGGGGTTGCTTTAGACAAAGGGGGGTGGGGGTTGTTGACTTACAAAGGTGTCTATGAGACGGGTTTTCCCCAGAGGGGAAGATAAGCAACAGAACCATCTAGACGGTTTCAAGGTACGAAAAGATGGAAATCTTGTTGTGTTAAGCTGACCTCCGAAGCTTTTCACACCTCGTCATCCACACAGGCTGATCAGTTGGAGGAGTAGAAAACTATTAGCTTCTGGATTTAGCTGTTTTATGTCTTCTGTCAAGACAGAAAGAGCTTTATATAGAGAGTAATTAAACACTAATGAAGCAAA